GTTTGGCCCATGGACCGAAACGGCCTCCGACGAGGACCAGACACTGAAACTTCACAGGAAGCATGACGCAATGCCTCTTGTTCAGGAAGAGGAAGGCCTGGGTGAGCAGCGGCAGCATCACCACGCAAGCAAGCAGTGGCGCAGACAGCAGCAATACGATACCAACCATGCGTCATGCAAGGACTCACACCACTGGCGTATGATGGAAAGGCCGGGAGGGCGCATCTCCGAGTGAGCCGGATTAGACGTCTGTGGTCGCTCCAACACACTAATTATACGGTTCGAGAGCGCTTCCCGGGTTCCCTCCTCCTCCGTCCCCTCCTCCTCCGACCCGCCCCCCTCTCACAGTCGACCCGCAAATCAGGTTCTGGGACACCGTCCGACCAAGACTCGGAGCCGACTCCAGCCGTGGCGACGAGGGCCAGCCACCCCCGACCTCTGGGCGTCGCGCAGCGAGGAGCGACGGACCTTTTTTTGCTGTGATGTCTGTCTCCGTGGGTCATTCTCGGGCCCTGGGGCCATCAACAGACCTGACCGCGACGAGGCAGGGGACCCAGGGACGGAGTCGAGAGTTCCAGGGACCCGAGCCGCGAGCAAAAACACGAAGTCGGAGATCTGTACGCGCTGCAGCACCGATACCGCGAGCCTCGCGCGCCTCCTCTATTCTCTTGCCTTGCACAGAACTCCTCCCTGTCGCACCCCGAGACGTGTCGGCAGGGCGGGCCAGGCGTTTCGCATGAGACTTCCTCGCTGCTTGCGACCCTGAAGCTTAATGTTTGGAGCAAGCTTCGCGGATGGAGGGCGGGAGGTTTTCAACATGTTACTGTTGCCTTCGAGGCGCGAACGTTCGTCGTAGAAGATTGGAAGAGCTTCAAGGATGGAGGGCGAGTGGTCGGTTCTCTAGCTACGCAACGTGAAAATCACTGAATCGGAACTTCTGGCCAAAATATTTCGTTGATTTGTAGGTCGGCACCACTTCGATGGACATGCGGGGGCGAACCGACGGCGCCAAAGCGATATCGAAAATGGGACCGGAGCCTCCGGGCACCTCCAGGGGCCGGTGCGCGGACTCTCCTTGGTTCTGCCGCAGGGCGATGGGCGCCCGACAGTGGGGGCGCCGTCGGACGTCCAGCTGGCCCAGGTGGCCGGAGGATCCCCCCAATCGGGAGCCTCGAGGGTGGAGTCTTTAACTCCCGGGGCATCCGGGCCACTTCCCCCTGTCTCCGACGCGGGGCTCTCTTCCAGTGCGGAGGTGCGTCAGCGTCTTCGGCCGCCGGAGGCCGTGAGCGGGCCCGGGACCGTCTCACATCGACGGAGGATCAAAAGCTTGTGCTCGGGAGTAGTCGAGATTTCAGGGGACTAAGGGAGACAAAGGAGTGAAAAGAACACGCTTTCGGATTTCTCGGTCTCTGAAGCCGGCGTTTTATCCTGAATTTGTTCTGCGAGGGCCCAGGAACGGCCCCTGGAGGACGAAAAACGCTGGAAATCATGAAAACGTGAGGCGCGATATTTCGGAGCTTCCAGGTCTGAGGGGTCGAGGATCCAGGGCGTCGACGAAGCGGGTCCAGCCGCGGCGACGTGGCCCAGGGGAAAAAGAGACATGTGTGTGTATGTATATATAACGGCCAAATCAACACCCAAACTTACGGAAAAAGCGAAGACAAAAAGAACTGGAGCCTGAAAGTTCAAAGCTGTCCTAGGGTAGAACCCCGCATGAGGATGTCCTTGGTTTGCCTCCTAGCCCCGACATGCCTTCAAGAGGGCCGTCGGCTAGCCTCTTTGAAAATGAGCTGGGTTGTCATCCTGTCGGACTGCTTTTAACCCTGGATCCTGGAACCGCCGCCGCCGCCATCTCCGTCGTCTTCGTGATGCCGACCCTCCCGTGGCCTCCAGAGGCTTGCCCTAATTGAGGGGCGTTTTCGAAATCTCTGCGGGGTCACCGGCAAACAAAATCTCGCTGGCCTTGCTTGGGCCTGTTTAGGCGCCTCTTGTTGGATGCCTGGAAATGGGTACCAACACCAACACAGAGGGTTGCCTCCACGGGGGGGAGATGATCCTAGATTTCGGTGTTGGTGGTAATCCTTCGACCACCTTCGAAGCCAGAGAAGTACCACCATCGCCGAGATCGGGATCTTCTTCCCTCGGTCGCGGCACACCGCCGATATTGATATTGGTGTCAACCTCTAGGCCTGCGATGTTGGGGCCTCTGCACGGAGCGTTTGGGGGCCTCTTGGGGCCTTTTGCGGGCCTCTCGGGGCCCACGTGGGGCCCTCGCGGGCGCCTCCCAAGCAGTTTTGGGGGCCTCTTGGGCTGTCTTGGGCGCCTCTGGAACCGTCAAGGGCCATCTTGGGGCTCTCCGGCGGCCGTCTTGGGCGCCTCTTGGGCAGCCTGGGGCCGTCTTGGGGGCCCCTTGGGGTGCCCTTGGGGGGCCTCTTGGGGGCCTTTTGGGCCGTCTCGGGGCGGTGTTTGGCGCTCGTCGGGCCGTCTTGGAGCGTCGAAG